AGTGTGTTTTGGCAGCAAGAGGCACATGCCACAACTCTTCTAGAATTCTCTGGGCCCACGTGACTCCCTGAAACAGGGCCCCTCTCCTCCTGGCAGCGTACACCACACAGTCACTCTAGTCCAGGCCACTCTCCCAGTGTGCACTAATGCAGCAGAGGCATTGATTTAATATCCGGATGTCCAGAATGAGTTACCTATCATGGGCCCATAGTAGAATATCTACAAACACCCTCTCAGACCCATTGGTGAGATAAAATCTGTTATACCACTGAACTCAGAGCACATCATTTCATCTTCACCATTGTGAGCAGTGTTGGAGAACTATTAGCACTCATAAAGGTGGTTGCAGAGATGTCACCTGCAAAGCATCCTATCCCAATCAGCAGCCCAAAGACCACTGGATTGTGTGATAGTACCTGACAGGTGTTTATTCCATCTTACTTACAGCCATAGACCAAGTTCATGCAGAGACTAGCTGGTGAAAAGCAATATCCACTTTTGTCAGAAGATGGGGTACGAAGCAGCCTTTTTGTATCTTCCCAGCCACAGAAGCTTAGCATCAAACTAACAAGAGGTAGATCACTGCTAAATAATGGGGAGGGAGATAAAAGGGAAGGGAGATGTAAGGAATCCAACTCAGGGAAACAACTGCTGAAGTGTCAATTTAAAATGAGTCTGAAAATAAGGCCACCTAGGTGAGAGAGAGAGTTGGAGAAACATGCCAGGAGAGAACATTTCTTCAGTAGCAGGGAGTGTGATGGGGACGATGCTACAATCCTTTGAGACCTCAGGTGGTCTAAAATGGAATGGAAGCATCCAAAGGGAACACTATCATGTCACCCCTAAACAAATAAAAGGAGTGACACATGCCTTTCCAAGAGGGAGATGTTATTTGTGCAAGGAGGGGAAACATCTGCAAAGCCAACCTCCATTTCTGAAGAGGAGCTACAATAAATTAGCTTCTTTCAAATGGGATAGGAGGATGGGAAAGAGAAAACAGACCGCATGCCCTGCTATGGAACAATTTTCTCAGGTCTACTGAATGAAATTCACCAATCTAAATAATGCTCATATCTCAGCACTCTGCAAACCATACTCCAAACTACCATAGCCTAGGGCCAGAAGTCAGGACCCTCTTCCTACCAGACTGGCATAGGCTCTGTGAGGATGACCACAAGACCTCCAGTAAGAAAAGGAGTACTTGTGGCACCTTAGAGACTAACCAATTTATTTGAGCATGAGCTTTCGTGAGCTACAGCTCACTTAGAATCATAGAATCATAGAATATAAGGGTTGGAAGGGACCCCAGAAGGTCATCTAGTCCAACCCCCTGCTCGAAGCAGGACCAATTCCCAGTTAAATCATCCCAGCCAGGGCTTTGTCAAGCCTGACCTTAAAAACCTCTAAGGAAGGAGATTCTACCACCTCCCTAGGTAACGCATTCCAGTGTTTCACCACCCTCTTAGTGAAAAAGTTTTTCCTAATATCCAATCTAAACCTCCCCCACTGCAGCTTGAGACCATTACTCCTCGTTCTGTCATCTGATACCATTGAGAACAGTCTAGAGCCATCCTCTTTGGAACCCCCTTTCAGGTAGTTGAAAGCAGCTATCAAATCCCCCCTCATTCTTCTCTTCTGCAGGCTAAACAATCCCAGCTCCCTCAGCCTCTCCTCATAACTCATGTGTTCCAGCCCCCTAATCATTTTTGTTGCCCTTCGCTGGACTCTCTCCAATTTATCCACATCCTTCTTGAAGTGTGGGGCCCAAAACTGGACACAGTACTCCAGATGAGGCCTCACCAATGTCGAATAGAGGGGAACGATCACGTCCCTCGATCTGCTCGCTATGCCCCTACTTATACATCCCAAAATGCCATTGGCCTTCTTGGCAACAAGGGCACACTGCTGACTCATATCCAGCTTCTCGTCCACTGTCACCCCTAGGTCCTTTTCCGCAGAACTGCTGCCTAGCCATTCGGTCCCTAGTCTGTAGCTGTGCATTGGGTTCTTCCGTCCTAAGTGCAGGACCCTGCACTTATCCTTATTGAACCTCATCAGATTTCTTTTGGCCCAATCCTCCAATTTGTCTAGGTCCTTCCGTATCCTATCCCTCCCCTCCAGCGTATCTACCACTCCTCCCAGTTTAGTATCATCCGCAAATTTGCTGAGAGTGCAATCCACACCATCCTCCAGATCATTTATGAAGATATTGAACAAAACCGGCCCCAGGACCGACCCTTGGGGCACTCCACTTGATACCGGCTGCCAACTAGACATGGAGCCATTGATAACTACCCGTTGAGTCCGACAATCTAGCCAGCTTTCTACCCACCTTGTAGTGCATTCATCCAGCCCATACTTCCTTAACTTGCTGACAAGAATACTGTGGGAGACCGTGTCAAAAGCTTTGCTAAAGTCAAGAAACAATACATCCACTGCTTTCCCTTCATCCACAGAACCAGTAATCTCATCATAGAAGGCGATTAGATTAGTCAGGCATGACCTTCCCTTGGTGAATCCATGCTGGCTGTTCCTGATCACTTTCCTCTCATGCAAGTGCTTCAGGATTGATTCTTTGAGGACCTGCTCCATGATTTTTCCAGGGACTGAAGTGAGGCTGACTGGCCTGTAGTTCCCAGGATCCTCTTTCTTCCCTTTTTTAAAGATTGGCACTACATTAGCCTTTTTCCAGTCATCCGGGACTTCCCCGGTTCGCCACGAGTTTTCATCGGATGCATACTGTGGAAACTGCAGCAGACATTATATACACACAGAGATCATGAAACAATACCTCCTCCCACCCCACTGTCCTGCTGGTAATAGCTTATCTAAAGTGATCATCAAGTTGGGCCATTTCCAGCACAAATCCAGGTTTTCTCACCCTCCACCCCCCCACACACAAACTCACTCTCCTGCTGGTAATAGCCCATCCAAAGTGACAACTCTCTTCACAATGTGCATGATAATCAAGGTGGGCCATTTCCAGCACAAATCCAGGTTTTCTCACCCCCCCCACCCCCATACACACACAAACTCACTCTCCTGCTGGTAATAGCTCATCCAAAGTGACCACTCTCCCTACAATGTGCATGGTAATCAAGGTGGGCCATGTCCAGCACAAATCCAGGCTTTCTCACTCCCCCCCCTTTTTTTTTCCCGGGGGGGACACACACACAAACTCACTCTCCTGCTGGCAATAGCTCATCCAAACTGACCACTCTCCAAGTTTAAATCCAAGTTTAACCAGAACGTCAGGGGGGGGGAAACAAGGGGAAATAGGCTACCTTGCATAATGACTTAGCCACTCCCAGTCTCTATTTAAGCCTAAATTAATAGTATCCAATTTGCAAATGAATTCCAATTCAGCAGTTTCTCGCTGGAGTCTGGATTTGAAGTTTTTTTGTTTTAAGATAGCGACCTTCATGTCTGTGATTGCGTGACCAGAGAGATTGAAGTGTTCTCCGACTGGTTTATGAATGTTATAATTCTTGACATCTGATTTGTGTCCATTTATTCTTTTACGTAGAGACTGTCCAATGTTCTAGTTAAATTAAAATTTCACAAGAATATACACTGGGCACTGCTTACTCCTGTATCCCCCTCCTCAACAATAGTGCACAACAGCTTTTCACATATAAACACAATGAACTAAACTTTCCCAATCTTATCTGCTAGCACACTTAGTGCTCCAAACTGTCTATGAAGATATGCAACTGAAAACTGGAGCTAGAGTAATTTTTGAGATGCTTACAAAAACCACACCGAACCTGGATGATGTAACAATTTTCTATTCTTATGTCCAGTGAGCACAGGCCCAGTGCTAAATGCACTGAATTTAAAATTGAGAGCCCATGTAATTTAGAGACTAGATGATAAATGGAATTAATACTGTTTTCTCTGGAGATCTCAGCTCACATCTGACTCAAGTCACAGTGAAATTGACTAAATCTTCAAAAAGATCTGTCCACGTCACCCAGCCACCGCACCGTTTGACACAACTGGCAGTCTCTGATCTATTAGACTTTTTGATACAGCTGGGTCTCTGTTTATGGAAAGTGCAATATTGGAACAGCAACGAGCGACACAGCCAGACTAAGAGGCTTTGACAGAGGTGTGCCAACTCATTACAAGAATAGCAAGAACGTTGAAGATCAAGACCAACGTGCATTAGCAGAGTTGTGTGGAGGCTCATAGGAAGATAACAGAAGCGTCGGATAGCAGTTGGGTTTCTGACCAGAGGTTTCTTCAGCACCTGCTGACCGTTTCCAGTCCTACATGTTCACTTTCATGAGTGTTAAAATTCACTCTATTTAACATAAAACAATACTATATTGTTTATCTTTTTGTTCTGGACCATGCAGGTTTGTCCATAATAAAAAAAATTCTGCAGCTGAAGCTTTGGGACTTGCTCATTTGCACACCACAAGGACTTGAATGGTTAAATGTTGATGTCTTATTCATTCCTGAACATGAAGGATCATGTATAGTAAAGCAACTGAACTGTATACAACCTCACTTCCCCCTGTTTTCTGGCCCATTTCCTGTCTCTGAGAAGGTTAGAATTAACTGAATAGACAAGTACAGCTGAAAAATTTACAAATAATAAAACCTAGTTTGCAGTTTTTAAAATCTGTCTCATCTAAGATGAACGGCAGTCACCCAAGGAAAATATCTGATTCATTATGAAGTAAAATGCTTATTTTCCTTCTAGAACTGCTAACGAACAGAAGGCAAATTGCCAAGAAGAATACAGGCTTTCGAAGGGGAAGCACCATTGAGTAATCTCAACAGAATGCAGGGTTTGTACCAAGTAAATATGGAGACAGACCAGGGGACAGACCTGTGATATTTTTTAATGGGATACACATTCTCTCCCCCTTGCAAGGTTCACTGCCTGTTCACATCTGGAATTCGGGATCCAAATTGTTAATAGGCATTTAAAGTTGCACATCACTTTTTCACCACTGTAAAACAAAGAGTAAAAGAAAATGAACACATACCATATCTGCTCTTTGCTTCTGGGTTCCCACTTCTTCCAAAGCTTGGGACAGCTGAGCCTTCAGAAAAATAAAAATCAGAACAGTATTTTTAGCGACTATGATCTTTGTTCAGTAACACTATGAATTATTACAGTTTGCCACCACTAAGTGGCCAGCACTCCAGTTTTGGGAAATGTGGACTGAGCTAAGTAGCACCTAAACACTTCAAACACCGCAGGGCCCATCGGATTGCTTCTGCTTGGATGATGTATGAAAAGTTTGAGGTTTTCAAGTCTCCCTTTCTTTTTTATTTGATTAAAGGAAAAAACCCACATTTATGCACTTTCGTCTCTATGTTTTTCTGAGGCTGGTGAAAGATGTTGGATTTATAGCCTTCAAGATGATAGGTCTTTAGCTATACGTAAAACAAACATAAAACTACTTCTAGAGCTGTGCAGCTGGGTCAGTCTCCGTGCATGTTCTGTCTTTGATCTCTTTAACAAGACTGCCAAATTTAGGGTACCAACTGTAGTTCAAACACCATGAAAGTAGCCAGACAAGGACCAGAGGTAATCATTTATTATCCTGTAATGAATGAAACTCCCCATAAGAAAAAAATTACAAATGCATGAAATACAGTGTGAACATATCTAATTTTATTATACTATAGAGAGCCCCCAATAATACACGCACAGGATCTTTTGTGACATATAGGACCATTGTTATTATTTATTTGTATTAATGTGGTAAATAGAGGCTACAATCAAAATCAGTGCCTCATTACAAGGAAAAAGTCCTTGCCCTGAAGAGTTTACATTCTGTAGACACATGAAAGACAAGGCCTTGGTCTACACTAGGAGTTGAGGTCAAATTTAGCAGCATTAAATCGATTTAACCCTGCACCCGTCCACACGATGACGCCATTTTTTTCAACTAAAAGAGTTCTTAAAATCCATTTCCTTACTCCACCCCCGACAAGGGGATTAGCGCTGAAATCGGCCTTGCTGCATCGAATTTGGAGTATTCTGGACACAATTCGATGGTATTGGCCTCCGGGAGCCATCTCAGAGTGCTCCATTGTGACCGCTCTGGACAACACTCTCAACTCAGATGCACTGGCCAGGTAGACACGAAAAGGCCCGTGAACTTTTGAATTTCAATTTCCTGTTTGGCCAGTGTGGCAAGCTGCAGGTGACCATGCAGAGCTCATCAGCAGAGGTGACCATGATGGAGTCGCAGAATCACAAAAGAGCTCCAGCATGGATCGAACAGGATGTACAGGATCTGATCGCTGTATGGGGAGAGGAATCCGTGCTATCAGAACTACGTTCCAGTTTTCAAAATGCCAAAACATTTGTCAAAATCTCGCAGGGCATGAAGGACAGAGGCCATAACAGGGACCCGAAGCAGTGCAGCGTGAAACTTAAGGAGCTGAGGCAAGCCTACCAGAAAACCAGAGAGGCGAATGGCCGCTCCAGGTCAGAGCCCAAAACATGCCGCTTCTATGATGAGCTGCATGCCATTTTAGGGGGTTCAAACACCACTACCCCAGTCATGTTGTTTGACTCCTTCAATGGAGATGGAGGCAACACGGAAGCAGGTTTTGGGGACGAGGAAGATGATGATGATGAGGAGGAGGAGGTTGTAGATAGCTCACAGCAAGCAAGCGGAGAAACCAGTTTTCTCGACAGCCAGGAACTGTTTCTCACCCTGGACCTGGAGCCAGTACCCCCCAAACCCACCCAAGGCTGCCTCCCAGACCCGCCAGGCAGAGAAGGGACCTCTGGTGAGTGTACCTTTTAAAATACTATACATGGTTTAAAAACAAGCATGTGAAAGGATTAATTTGCCCTGGCATTCGCGGCTCTCCTGGATGTACTCCCAAAGCCTTTGCAAAAGGTTTCTGGGGAGGGCAGCCTTATTCCGTCCACCATGGCAGGACACTATGCCAGTAGCACGTACTCGGGAATCATTGTACAACAAAGCATTGCAGTGTATGTTTGCTGGCGTTCAAACAACATCCGTTCTTTATCTCTCTGTGTTATCCTCAGGAGAGTTATATCATTCATGGTCACCTGGTCACCTGGTTGAAACAGGGTGGTTTTAGTAAGCGGACATTCAGAGGTGCCTGTTAGGCTATAGATATTCAGGTCTGTCTGTAAAGGCCTATACTCTAAGAATTTAGGTGTATTCTTATCACTTGGCTAATTATAGAGGTATAAAAGAGAGAATCAAAATCACTGTCTGCTGGTATAAGGGCCTTCTCTTACTGTCACAGTCTGAGGCCCTGTTCTTAGGCTAAGGCCTTTGGCTAAGCAGCAGAGGCAGCCATAAGCTGGGAAGCAAACAGTCACATCCTCACATTCCAAACTAGTCACATTGAAATAAGGTGCTATTGGGCTGTTAGGCACTATCAGGACAGGATTGTATTCCTGTCACCTCCAGAGAAAGGGAAGTGCCTAGAAAATGTAAAAGGAAACTTAGTTTGATAGCATCCTGTCTGGCAAGAACACACTTATCAATAGCTGGGATGTGAAATCCTCACTTCTGTATTGTTTTGTCATTATAGTTCCCACTTTGCTGTTGTTTGTCTATATAATCTCTGTCTGGTTCCGTGATTGTTCCTGTCTGCTGTATAATTAATTTTGCTGGGTGTAAACTAATTAAGGTGGTGGGATATAATTGGTTACATAATCATGTTACAATATGTTAGGATTGGTTAGTTAAATTTCAGGAAAATGATTGGTTAAGGTATAGCTAAGCAGAACTCAAGTTTTACTATATAATCTGTAGTCAATGAGGAAGTGAGTGGGAGTGGGGGTGGGTGGGAGAAATGGGAGCAGGGAATGGGGGTAAGAAAATTGGAATCATGTTTTGCTAAAGGGGGAAATGGGAACAGGGAATGGGAGTAAGGAAGTTGGAATCATGTTTGGCTAAGGGTAGGAATGGGAACAGGGACACAGGTGTAAGGCTCTGTGGTGTCAGAGCTGGGAAGGAGGATACTAAGGAAGGAAACTGGAACCATGCTTGCTGGAAGTTCACCCCAATAAACGTCGAATTGTTTGCACCTTTGGACTTCAGGGATTGTTGCTCTCTGTTCATGCGAGAAGGACCAGGGAAGTAAGTGGGTGAAGGAATAAGCCCCCTAACAGTGCCCGTTCCTGCTGGGCTGTTTGCCTGTGGCTGAACAGAAATGTTCCCCGCTGTTAGCCACAGCGAGGGGAGAGGGTTGAGGGGGTAGGGTAGCCACGCGGTGCGGGGAGGCAAAATGCGACCTTGTAACGAAAGCACATGTGCTATGTATGTAATGTTAACAGCAAGGTTTACCCTGAAAGAGCGTAACCATTGTTCTATAAAATGTGTCTTTTCAAATACCACTGTCCCTTTTTTTTTCTCCACCAGCTGCATGTGTTTCAAGGATCACAGGATCTTCTCCTTCCTTGCTGAGGCTGCTGGAGGATCAAACTAATATGCTCCAGCATATGGCTGAGCTGCAGGAAAGGCAGCAGGAGCACAGACTGCCGCTACAGCCCCTGTGTAACCAACCGCCCTCCTCCCCAAGTTCCACAGCCTCCTCACCCAGACGCCCAAGAATGTGGTGGGGGGGCCTCTGGCCACCCAACCACTCCACCCCAGAGGATTGCCCAAGCAACAGAAGGCTGGCATTCAACAAGTTTTAAAGTTTTAAACTTTTAAAGTGCCGTGTGGTCTTGTCCTTCCCTCCTCCACCACCCCTCCTGGTGCTTCTCTCCTCTCCCACCCCTCCTAGGCTACCTTGGTAGTTATCCCCCTATTTGTGTGATGAATTAATAAAGAATGCATGAATGTGAAGCAACAATGATTTTACTGCCTCTGCAAGTGGTGATCGAAGGGAGGAGGGGAGGGTGGTTAGCTTACAGGGAAGTAGAGTGAACCAAGGGGCGGGGGGTTCATCAAGGAGAAACAAACAGAACTTTCACACCATAGCCTGGCCAGTCATGAAACTGGTTTCCAAAGCTTCTCTGATGCGCACCGCGCTCTCCTGTGTTCTTCTAACCGCCCTGGTGTCTGGCTGTGTGTAACAAGCAGCCAGGTCATTTGCCTCAACCTCCCACCCCGCCATAAACATCTCCCCCTTACTCTCACAGATATTGTGGAGCGCACAGCAAGCAGTAATAACAATGGGAATATTGGTTTTGCTGAGGTCTAACCGAGTCAGTAAACTGCGCCAGCGCGCTTTTAAGTGTCCAAATACACATTCTACCACCATTCTGCACTTGCTCAGCCTGTAGTTGAACAGCTCCTGACTACTGTCCAGGCTGCCTGTGTATGGCTTCATGAGCCATGGCATTAAGGGGTAGGCTGGGTCCCCAAGGATAACTATAGGCTTTTCAACATCCCCAACGGTTATTTTCTGGTCTGGAAAGTAAGTCCCTTGCTGCAGCTGTTGAAACAGACCAGAGTTCCTGAAGATGCGAGCGTCATGTACCTTTCCCGGCCGTCCCACGTTGATGTTGGTGAAACATCCCTTGTGATCCACCACTGCTTACAGCACTATTGAAAAGTACCCCTTGCGGTTTATGTACTCGCCGGCTTGGTGCTCCGGTGCCAAGATAGGGGATATGGGTTCCGTCTATGGCCCCACCACAGTTAGGGAATCCCATTGCAGCAAAGCCATCCACTATGACCTGCACATTTCCCAGGATCACTACCCTTGATATCAGCAGATCTTTGATTGTGTTGGCTACTTGCATCACAGCAGCCCCCACAGTAGATTTGCCCACTCCAAATTGATTCCCGACTGACTGGTAGCTGTCTGGCGTTGCAAGCTTCCACAGGGCTATCGCCACTCGCTTCTCAACTGTGAGCGCTGCTCTCATGTTGGTATTCTTGCGCCTCAGGGCAGTAGAAAGCAAGTCACAAAGTTCCATGGAAGTGCCCTTACGCATGCAAAAGTTTCGCAGCCACTGGGAATCGTCCCAGACCTGCAACACTATGCGGTCCCACTAGGCTGTGCTTGTTTCCCGAGCCCATAATCAGCATTCCACGCCATGAACCTGCCCATTAGCACCATGATGCCCACATTGCCAGGACCCGTG